CATTAACTGAGGTCAAGTTACGCCTTGACCAGGTCTGTTTTCACAAGATATGTTTGAAAGGCTCAATTTTGACCTCTGTTCGCATCCTGAACACAGTCCAAAACACTGATTAATGTCTAAAAAGCACTGAAATGGAAAGATGACAGAGACCAACATTCTCATCACCCACTGGGAGATGAGTGACCTCTCCCTTGTTACCACACAAGGAAGAGGTGCACATTCAGAGAGGGCTAAGCAGCAGTGACAGTGATTAGGAAGAATCTCTGGAAAGCTGTGGAGAGAAGTGGCAGGACAGAAGGAGGGGGGCAGGAGAGAAGACATGGCAGAGGCACCAGCAGGGAGACAGGAACAGGAGACAGAATAGTCCAGAAAGGGATGAATGTACGTTGGAAGAATCTCAATAGGGATCTGCCTTACAGAGATTCCCTGAAATGACAACAACTATCCCCTTAATGTTTGACCTATGTGCCAATTTCCTACAAGCCAGAAACCTGTAATGCCTAAATAAGGAGAATAATACTGCCCAGAATGAAGGACAAAAGAGCACTAGGGACATGCAAACTTCAGTGTTACAAGCACTCATTGTACAATGGTACAATTCTAACAGCTCCCATTTATGAGGTTAAAGAAATAATGATTCATGAGACTGGCAAACACCCAGAATGATTTAAGCAGGCCATCCCGAACGTAAATGACATTGACTCACATTTCCAGCTGCAGGTGGAACTGGCAATTGTCTTTTCATAATTGCCTTAACTTGCTTTGCTAGTTAGAAATAGTTTTCTAGGTTATATTTCAAATCTGATAGTCATTAGAGGTACATTCTTTTCATAGATGTTTTGTACTTATAGTCAGTGGGAACATCTAGGACAGAATTTGACCTACAAACTTAAATATCCAGCAGCAGCCTAGATAGAAAAGCTGTACTTAAGCCTGAACCAGAATTAAAGTAAGACTGCTCAATATATACATATGAACACAGGATATATTTAAAATATGAATGCACAGATTGTAGCAGGCAAGATTCTTACAGCATTCTTTCACTCCTTAGCTGTTTCCAACTGCCTGTCTTCAAAAATCTTTTCATCAGATTCAACACAACGGTATTTTCATAAATAATGAAGGACAGAAAAAAAAAAAACCCATGAAATTTAGGATAAAAGCAACATATGGAATTTTCTTTACAAAACAAACAAACCAACTTACAATAGGAAGTAGTATTCAGAGAGTGAAAAAAACACTGAAGCCCACTGATTTTTCACCCAGCTGTGCTTATAATTCTCTCTTTTTTCTTCCTTCTTTACCTTCCCTATCATTCAAAAGCACTTGAACTATGCTCCTCTTAGTGGCTATCTGCTTCATCTTTTCCAAGGCATGACATATTCCAGACCCTTACAATTAAACAACGCTCTGTGATGTTACAATGATGCAACATCCTCAGTTAGGCTGACTTCAGTCTAACGTCATGAGTTTGACCGCAAAGATTTGACCCAATTGCTGTGACCTGACATTTGCAATCTAGTACAGCCTCAAGTCTCAAAGAACAGCCCTTGAAACCACTGGAGAGACTTAAGTGAAAGCCAGAAACAAGCAGAATAAGACAGAATTCATCACAAGAAAGAATAAAAAAAACTTATAACACAGCTTGCCAATACTCACCTAATGCCACTTTGCCTGTTAGAAGGCGTTGGGCAACATGCTTGCATTTTAAAGCAAGAAACATCAACAGAAACAGAAAAGCAGAAATTTTAACAGTCCAGGAGGAAATGGCAGAGCTATGTTATGTTCTGAACATATATATATTCAAAAATTAGGGGAAAAAGAAGTCCGTGTGCTGACTGATGGATATACAGTGGAGCTTCACTGAAGTGCAGAGTGAGGAGGTGTGCAGTACTGAACAACTGTTCTATGATTCTGACCATCAGAGTGAGGGATTATATTGCAAGAGCTGATACAGATGTATGGAAAGGCAAATCAACTTTTACTGTGGATCAGCTTTCAGGTTCAGGAATCACAGCTGCAAATCTTACGCAGCTGGTGATGTCCTGCTGATTTTGCAATATCCATAATCGAAGGAACCCCTGGTTCTTTCACTTGCACAGTATCTATAGAATTGCCTTTAAAATCTTCTTCCCCGTGCTTTCAAATAGCAAAGCAAGATTTCCTTACTCCATTAGTACGATTAGTTAGAACGCTGCAACAACATGGAACATTTACATCTGTATTTGCATCATACTGAAAGTCCCAGTATTTACTCCTTGGAAGCTGAACAACAGAGAAGAGAAAGCAAATAGAAATGTCAATGTGTCAAATCTTGTTGAAAACAAAAAGATACTTGGCTTTGCTTCTTGGCTTTGTCTGTAAAAGTTCCTGAAGGCTGCATGCAGAAACTCGGTAAACTGCACCCAACAACGGCTCATGACCCCATTCAGTGTCATTTCTCAGCTCCGTGTAGGGCCACACTAAGTTCTTGTATGGATACCGTTCAGAATCCTGTACAACTTGGGGACTTGTTTTGCTGTTCTGTCAGTACCACTTTCCTGCTTCTCTTAATGCAGGATTGTCTTTCTGGCTTAGGATATGAACAGAAGAACAGCTGTACAAGATATCAAATTCCACTTAGCTCTGTATCCCACCATAGACAGTGGCTTGGCAGGGGTGCTGAAGGACTGGACATAAGAACAGGATGGAAACAGGACATAATGCTTCCACCAAAATACACACTCAATCTCTAGAATCGTGGTTCAAAGATTATTCAATTAAAAAGCAAATTAAAAAAAAAAAAGAGAGAGAAAAGCATGCTCTGTGCAGTGCCAGATACTGGCTGGCTTCCTTGCTTATGAACAAAGCTTCTGCACCTTGATCTACTTTTATCTCTTTCACCATTTTTTGCTACCAGAGCCAGAGTTGCTGAACTAAAAATCAAATAACTGCAAAAAATGAATTGTCCAAATACCAGAAGATCCTGCACGAGTCTCGGTAACTCCATGCCATTGTTCCAAAAGAGATATCAAATATAACCTCATGATCAAATTTTACAAGTTAGGATCTGGAACTAGACATAAAATTAACCACCTGAGGCCTATCCATGAGAGCAAATTAATGGTCAGATCACTTACTAAATTGCTGTCTATTCTGAAGTCGTTGCCTGTTACAAATAATCGCATACTACATAGGACAGTGATGAATGGTGACAAAATGTACCCTGGGAATTCAGCCCTAAGTACTTTTTTCTGATTAAATTCTTTGTTTTGTCAGCTAGTTACAGGAAGTAATAGTTCTGTACTTTAGAATAGCTAAAAATCTGTTGTGTATAACTCTGTATTTACTATTTTTCCCCCCTTAGAATATTGTCTTCCATGGTCTTAGGAGATAAAGCCGTGTCTCCCGTGGCCAAAGCGGGCTCACACAAACAGGTAGGCTTTGTGGCAATGACTGTTACTGATGATCTGAAATAAGGTCTTCCAGGTAAGACTCTAAGCTGGGAAAGTCTGATATCCTGGTATTCAAAATAAACACTTCTCTAAGATGTGACTACTGAGCTGTCAGGGAGAAGAGCAGTATCTTTAAAGCACTGATCTAAGACTGAAGTTAAGGGGGAGGAAGCAAAGCATGGAATAGCTTATAAGGAAAAGAAAACTGTCCTTAACAATTTTCAGAGGAAAATCTGAGAACAAAGCAACTCTTAACAACGTTTTCACGGGAAATATAAAGGAGAAGAAATTAAGAAACAGCAGTATTAAAGCAGTTCAGATACAGGCTTTCCCCATAGGAAACAGCTGGAGGGCTTGCTCCCTCTGCTGGAGCATCCTAATGGAACCACATGAGACTTGCTAGTTTGACCCACTTTTAAGTCCACAGCAAGCCTTTTTGACCTGGAAATTAGGATTTTTATGAAGATGGTCTCATTAATGCAGGGCTGATTACCATTTCTGGCTTGCTACCACATGGAATTTTTTAAGAATGTACTGAGTATGAGTATGCAGATAAGGGCAGAGAGGAGAGATCTTTTGTTTCCACTGTTTTTACACTGAAAAGAAACAAAATAAAGCATACAAGTTGTACGTATTTTTTTTCAAATTATGATTATACCAGCCCAGTGGAACTGGAAGGCAAGCAGACTTCTTCCAGCAACGTAAAAGAGAACAGCAGCTCTTACTGTATGACCTTTGCTTTAGGATGGATTACTTGCCAACATTCCTTGAGCCACATATAAAGAAAACCACATCACTTTTTGAACTGTACGTTCAGTAAAATCTAGTCTTACATATTTTGGCTTATGAATAAATATCCTATTCCAGGAGCAAATAGAGAGCAAACCTCCCCTCACAAGGCCAGGCTGGATGGAGCTTTGAGCAACCTGGTCTAGCAGGAGATGTCCCTGACTGTATCACAGGGTTTGGAACTAGATGGTCTTAAAGGTTCCTTCCAGCTCAAACCATTCCATGATCCTACGATCTTCAGATAAAGACAATGCCATCAATTGGTTATTTAGTATTAGTGTTGGATAAGATCATAGTAGCATGGTGCATAGCAACAGAAAGACAACATTATTCAGACATGCACTGACACAGCTCAGCCTTTGCTTGCAATAGTTATGGTTAAAGCACCTCTTTCTCTCTTTTAGAAAAAGTTTTATGCCTTGGGCTCTAAAACACCCCACGTGGCTTTGGACAGATTGTGGGATCTTGTACTTCATAATTCAGATTTCTACCAGCTAAATGGCACTCAAGTTGCTTTATTCTTTCACACCTTTCTATAAGCTAAGTTACAAAGCTGTGTTATGGAATCTCCCTCTTTCTGCTCACACATCCAACATAAACATCTTCAGTTTTAAGTGGGCCGTACAACCATAATACTGAAATGAAAAAAATATTTAGCTAAGAACTCAATTAGATGTAAATTTGTGGATTTTGTGGCCTCTCCAGTTTAATCCATTTCTCCTTTTCCAGTCTCACCATCATTTCAGTGAACAGCCTGGTGACCACCTGAGAAACTGAATGGAGAAGATGGAAACAAAGTACTGCAGCAGTGACAGAGAAGAAACTTTCAAAACAGAACTGCCATACTGCATAGGAGAAATTGACTTCACAGCTTCTGGGAAGAAACGTGGAAAGGTACAGCAATAAGGACTCTCAGGCTTGTAGCACTATTGCTATTGTTCAGCTGTTAATATAGAGATTATAATGTTGAAGATGAGTGTACTAGAGTGCTGGGCACCCATTCTAACCAAAGTAGAGACCAAACCTTTATAAACAGCAGTGTAATTTTAAATGACACCTATTAACAAAGAGAAATCAATCACTTGCCTTCACAGACCTGCTGCAGTTACAGTTGCTCATCTGTTTTCCCCTTTAAAAATGAATAAACAAAATCAAATGTCCTTCATTTTGCATCATTTCCCTGTTTTAACCACTTTCTTCCAAATAGTAAATTACTACGGATTTAAACCGCTGAGCTGTTTCAAGGCTCTCAAAGTTCTCTCTCCCTTTCCTGCTAATACATAAAGAAGGCTGTGCACAGATAAACTCTCTTCATCACTGCTCTCTTGCATCTGCTCCCCCCCAAGCAGAAGGAATTCCTAGGATCAGAACTCAGCCTTAAGGTTTCATTTCATTGTGAAATCTAAGCATAACATGCACTGGTAATCCAACAGTAAAAAGCATTTACTCTGCCAAATGGAAATCTAGCCTGAATAAAGGCCAAGAAAACTCCATTGAAAATGAGGAGGATGTGGACACTTGAAAAACAGAGATGAAATCAGGCAAATATTTCAGCTACCTCAGAAACAAGAAACGTCTAAGAGATTTCTTGGCTTAGCTAAACTGCCACGAAACTGAAGGCAATTAAAGAAGAATAGCACCAATAAAGGAGAGAGTGATTTAGCAGTTCATAATGCAGAACAGACCTATGGAGCTGACATGATTAATGAGATTGTTTTGAATTTATTTGTGAATTATTTATGAATATTTATTATTTATGAATTTCACAGAAGCCTGTTAAATTCATTCTAGTATTTTGTTCTCTGTAAGGTCTTGCCCAAATAACCAATGGGTACTAATAACCATTTAATTCTTATGGTACATTTGCCTTTACATTTACTGTATTGTACTGTGCTGTTATTACACAGGGTTTATTTTTTTTTATTTTTTGTCTGTTTTATTTTTATTCAAGTTTATTAAGGTCCCGTGCACTATTCATCCTGGAGTCATATTTGAAGTCATGCTCAACAAATGGAAGTTACCAGCTCCCAATTTGGTTGTCTCTTTAGTAGGGGAAGAAGAAAATTTCCAGATGAAGCCTTGGTTGCGAGACACCTTAAAAAAAGGACTCATAAAGGCAGCCCAAAGCACAGGTTAGTAGTTTAGGCTAAATTAAAGCAAGAATTTATATTACTGCTGGATTCTCACATCTAGTGATCTTCTAGAGTCAGCAGCCCCACTCGCATGATTGCTTCACAGCTTTTTGGTTTCAGCTCACTGGGTCAGACAAGATTTAAACAGCTTTGGTTTCTGTAAGGAAAGAGCCAACTATCAAACCTTTTTTTTTTTTTTTTTTGGCACTTTGGTTCCAGACAGTTTTATTCGGTTTTACATCCAGCTGATTTCTATACTTAAGATTAGATAGCTTTAAGATCTCCAGGTCTTTTGTGTCACATTTTTGAAAGTGTTCTGTTAACAACCAGGCCTGCCTGGTTTGTAATGTTTCTACTCGCTTTCAGAATAGAGTCCAGTCTGGAAATAGAGTTCTTGAAGTGTTGACAGCACAACAAAGACAACAAGGTTGCATCACATGATATTTAAAGCATGTCTGCTTGGGCACATGATTTCTTATTTTCTGTATTAAAGCCTTGCATTCAGTATACATTTTTTAATTCTAAATGTTATAGTCTATTAAGTGATTTCTTATTTTCTGTATTAAAGCCCTACATTCAGTATATATTTTTTAATTCTAAATGTTATAGTCTATTAAGATTATCCGTATTTGAAGGGAGTATATCAACAGGAGGTGGGAAAGACTGTTTATGAGGGTGAATAGTGATAGAACGAGGGGGAATGGTTTTAAACTGAGACAGGGGAGGTTTAGGTTAGATATTAGGAGGAAGTTTTTCACACA